ACACTTACAGACAACCTTCGCATACTTCAAAGCATGTGGTTTGATGATACTGCATTCATGTTATCTTATTAGCTGCAATTTATATTCCCTCTTTAATCCTTCTAAAGACTAGAACTTTCTAAAGTCTGCTGACAGTGTTTGGCAGTGACCTCTTGCAATACCAGATTCTAGAGGTAGACTATACACTGCATGAAAAAGCATTTTTTCTAAATATGCCGGCCTTTGATTTCCTGTAATCTCTGATTTTAAGATCATGGAACGGCATAAAACAACACAATTATCTTCTCTCATGCTACCCTCTGAAATTTCAATACCCCTTTCTTCTAAAATAAAGACTCTTCTATTTTATTCTCTGATCCCCTATGAACATAGCAGGTAGTATTTAAATTGCAGTAGTTAAACTAAAAAGCCCTGATCAATCCAGCTGCTTTTAGAAGGAAAAAGTGGAATGTATTTGAAAATATATATATTATTCTTGAGTACTGAAGGAAAAAAATAGCAAACAATGAACCCTTTGCCTAAAAATCTCCAGATCACAATTTTTATGAGTATCAATTAGTATCAACTGCTGCCTCTCTGTGGTTATGTTCTTTATAGTGCTAGTGGGTGCACCCACACGTGCGTTTTAATGCATATTTAGCCCATTTTAATGTGCATTAAAGTATCACCAAAAACTGTGCTCTTTAGTTAATGCGCATTACAATAAGCTAATGTGCATTAAAGCATCACAAAAAACTGGGGGCTCCTGTACACAAGTATGGAGGCTGCTCCGCCATGCTGGATTCCAGCATCTTGGAGCAGACACAGTCAGTCGAGGCGGCTGGAGTGTGGCAATTCCTGTGCTCTAGCAGCCTGCTGCGTCTCGTGTATCAGTGTCCTCACACTTCAAAATGGTGGCAGGGGTGCTTGAACTAAAGCTCATTCCCTAAACTAAAGCATTAATTAAAGCGCGTTAATGCATGTGTAGACACACTCAGTATTCTGTATTGGTTTGTACTAAATACTTCAACGTTCATTTGTATTTATTTCAATAATTACCCAACAAATGAAGCTGCCATTCAAGTCAAAGGTAGGAACATAGAGCTGGAAGGGTCCTCCTGGGTCATCAAGTCCAGTTCCCTGTTACTGCCAGGAAACCAGTTTCTACCCCTTTTCATCAATCGATCAAGTTCTTTTATAAACTTGTTTGCTTTTTTGGCCCAGTGTAAGGCTGTTCCAGAACTTCACTCACCTGATAGTTAGAAACCTTTTTCTACCTTCCAACTTAAATTTATTCTATTCATGGCTAGTTTATACCATTTGTTCTTGTGCAAACCCCATCCTTTAGTTCTTCCCCTTCCCTTGTGCTAACAGTCTTGATGCATGTATAAATAGCAATCATATACCCTCTCAACCTTCACTTTGCTAGACTAAACAATTCAAGCTCATTTAAGATAGGATCTTCATTTCCTTGATTGTCTTATGGAGGAAAGCTACACAAGCTGAACCGTTTTGCTCCTTTGCATACCAGTTATCCCTTTTTCATCTAAGGCTTTTCAGTGCAGGAAAGGACAATTTGTGCAGTTATATTGCTGTGTATCATGTCTGCTCAGTTTTTATTACTTTTTTAAGCCTCTTAATGCACACTAAATTATACATCTGTCATATCCCTAGCAGCCCCTCTCTGTACCTTTTCAAGTCTGAATTAATCTTTCTTGAACATAGGTGATTAGCATTATGAACAACATTCCAGATGAGGAGTCTGTACAATATCATTAATCGTTTCACATTTCTGCTGGAAATACCTTGCGCAATGCATCAAAAGACAGTATTTATCTCTTTCATAACACTGGCAGCTCATAGTCATCTTTTGATCAACTAATACAACCGAGTTTTTCTCTGTTATCATTTCACCTTATGAACTCCCAGCAGAAAACCTTGTTATTTCTTCATTGTATAACCTTGTACTTTGTACTATTAAATTTCCTCCATTTCTATTATTCCAGTCAGTCCTCAAGGTCATCCAGGTTTTCCTTTACAATAATCTAATCCTCCTCTGTGTTAACAACATTTCCCAATTTTGTGAAACACTTTTTTTGCTAATTAATTAATGAAAATAGTAAATTAGATTAATCTCAAAACTATTCCTTGAGGAATGTTTCTCCAGACTGCTAGCTCCCCCCTCAACAACACTACCATCTTCCCTTAAACAAATTCCTTACCCACCTTATAAATCTTGTAGCAATCCCCAACACCTCAAGCTAATGGAATCATTTCCCATGAATCAATTTCACAGTTATAAAATGTTTCCTTCCAACATGTTCAAAATTTGGAGATACTAGGGAAAAGTGCTATTGTGAACAACAATACGAAACAGAAACTGAGACATCTATTTTATATAAATATTTTATTAAATGTACCAAACAAGATTCTTTATCAAAACAAATCAAAACTTTCTTTTATATGAGATGACTGAAATTATTAAAATAGCATTTCTAGAATGCCTCTTATACTGTGAAGTATCAGCTTGGAATTGGTATGAATTAACAAAAATATCAGAAAACACCAATAGTTGCTCTCGACCAGCAGTTTTCAAACTTTTTGAGCTGAGCTCCCCTTAGAGTTACAATTTTGTTTGCGCTCCCCCCCTCCTGCCCTCCTCACCCCAGAGGAGCAGCACAGCTAGGCACAGGGCACTCCTCATCCTAGCAGCCGCCACGGCTCGGCTTGGCAGGGCAGGCTCCACCCACCGTGGCTCCAGCACCTCCTGCCTTGGCCCCACTGTGGCTCTAGGCTGCGCACCCACCACGCCGGGCTCCCAGAGACGTAGCAGCCCACTGGTAGAGCCTGCCTGGGGCTCCCTGCCCCGGCATTCCCCCCATGAATGGCTGCAGTGGCACTGGCTCCTTGCAAACTTGTTGCCCATGCCCCCTTGGACTGCACCCCACAACATTCCTTCAAGCCCCGCTAGGAGGGCGGCCCCCCGTTTGAAAACCACTGCTCTACACTAATGATGATATAATAGTGCAAAATACAGGTCCCATAAGGAATCCAAATTTGGATTCAGAGTGTGGCCCTTCTGCTCTCAGTCAAGATATGCTCGGAGTGTCATGGAAGCAGCATGCTTAACCCTTATGAAATTAAAAGTTTTTGTCTATCTTCTGGATAATATTCAAATGTGTAGACTGGCTCTGGAGAAAAATAATCCAGTCTCAGAAAAAGGAGTCAGTGCAAAGCTGGATGTTTTTTGGAAATCATATTGGAAAGGAAATAAAAAACACAAGAAAAATAAAATAATAACATAAATAGCTACATGGGTATAACTAACAAAGTTCTGACTTCTTTGATTCATTGGCTATCTATACAGATGTTTAATACTCTGACAAAATAGATGAATGACCTTACAGAGAAAAAGATTTATATAGCACATCCATGAAAAGGAGGAACATCACCAAGTCCTCACATTGGTACTTCCAAGAAATACAGAACTGTCTCCGTCTGCAGAGCTCAGATACGCAAAAGTATTATACTATTAAAAATAAAAAAGAATTTAAAAAACCATTTTTACCATATCTTGAACTTTTTTGAAGGCCGCATGGGTGAAGAACAAAAGACAAATTAAGAACCCCAATTTGAAAACTAGTTTCTTGCATTTCCATTGTTAGAAGGTTTACGAATATCAGTAAGTAACTTTCTTACATTTCAACAATATTCTGCCATTCCTACAGTAATAATTAACTACAGATTATGAAATGGTTCATTTTACTTTAGAATATTCAAGCTGGAGCTCTTTTGTAAAATGTTTCACCGCAAGGCATCATAAAATATTCCACAAGTAAAATGTTTTCCTAAATAAGGATTTCTTTTAAATTTAAACGTGACTCCTTGTGACGTCACATTAAAGACTTCCCATTAGCTGTCAGAGATAAGACTTTAAAGCATTTGCTCCTTAAACTGGCCGCTAAATGGTCAATGAATCACAAACTATTAAACACAGTAGCAGTTATACTTACATCCTACAGAGGGCACTTGTGTACTGAATCCACTGAGCAATATTCTACAATGGGAAATGTCCAGTGCTTACATTTAAAAAGAGATCGTTAGGTTAAACATTACATGCTTAAAAAAAACACATATCTATGCTGCTAATAACACTTTCTCTCAGAGGAAATGAGAACATGTACATAAGTATTTAATTTTTATCATTTTATCATGTTTATCATCTTGTTTGAGAACTATCTCTGTAACTTTGTGTACTGGAGCAGTGAAACTAGCTGGTTTTACATTTTGCTTTTCACGTATCAGCACTATTATGAAGTTGGGCTCATAACCCTGTAATGTGATATCCAAATTAAAGTTTAATTTTAAAAAAGCATGTCTATAGGCAATAATGATTTATAAATACATTTTTAAAACATTCTAAATTTTCAGTCTAAATAAACTGATAGGACTTTTGCCTTTTTAAGAAACTCCTTACATTTCCAGCTACTGAATTCATTTTTATTTTTTATGAACATTGTGCAAATATTTCTGCAAACTAAGTAAAGAAAAACTTTACTGATGACCCCACTGCTGTGTGGGGAATTATAAAAATGACACTTCTGGGGAGGATCAAAACCCCAGAAAATCTCCACGTATGGACATAAGTTTGAATGCAGTACGTTGCTATCACAGAGCCTCTCAAAAGCACATGAAGTATTTGTCTCATGTTTACACACTCTAGAAAAAGCATAGGACAGTATGCAATATCTGAATTTTATACTATTGTTTCAGTGCACCCATTGCCACCACCAGAAATCGCTCCAGAGAAAAATGACTTCCAGTGCAAAAAGGAAATGTTTCAGTTTATGTTTCTATAGATTCCACATGAAATATCATAATTATCTACTATGACAGAGTTAACTTCTCTTGCATATTGCTTCAACTAAGTCAGAACATAAGGCCTGCTCATTTTACAGGGTATCCACAAACCAGTGAACAAGAGAATGATCATCATATTTCAATCCTATGCAAGTCTATATCTCAGAAGAGTATACCAAAATTTACTAAACTTTAGATTCTTACTTCCTGTTAGCAAATTTCACATTGATGGAGTCTCCAGGAGTCAAAAGTCCATGGGTTTTAGCACGAACTGGTTTTGTTTTGGAAGAAATTTTGATCTCAAAATTTTGAAGCAACTGGAAAGAGACATATGGTGATATTAGAAGTATTATAAAGCAACAAGATTATAATTCTCCACAGAAAACCAGCAACAGCCCTTTAAGTTTGTGAGAAACAACATGTATGGTGTCAACTCTAATAGACTCAAGTAACATGGTTCCCCTGAAGGGAAAAATATAACGCTGCCCCAGAATGAAGAACCTGGTTGGCAATTTTGTTTCTGTAGTGCAAACGAATTTTCTACAATTAGAATAAAACTTGTCTTTTCGATCCATCAAGTTCCTCAGAGGTCAGCCCAAAAGTGTGCAATTAACTCCCACAGGAACTCAGATTATAAACCTCACCAACTTCTATTCTAAAGGCAAGGTGTTTAAACACCAAAATCCAATTATCTGTCTGGACAAAAGATGAGAAAACAAACATGAGGCAGATTGCTTAACACCATTACTGGAAGGCACTCAGAAAAAATCAGTGATGCGCATAGAAGAAACTAATTAGAACAGAATGGGATAAACAGGCTGCCATTCAGTCAAGGGGAGTCTGCTAACGTTAAATAATTATTCTTATGACACCTTCACTGAACCAGCAGGAGACTGAATACAAAAATGAGACAGCAAATGTTCTGAAGTGGTACAGAGTAAGTATATACGATTACCGAGCACATTTGAGGGGACCAGCATTATGGCATCACAGAAATATATGGATGGAAAGGATGTTTAAAGGCCATGTTGTCCATTCTCCTGCCCTAAGACAGGATCAAGTATACCTAAGCCATTGTTACCAATGTTTCTTTAACCTGTGAGTAAAAATCATCAAACTTCTCTAGGTAGTCTGCTCAAATGGTTTACAACAGCTGCATTCTTCTTATGTACCCATTAGTAGACATACTGAGAGCTTGGTTGCAATCCACTGTAGAGCAACCTCTCATATACTGGAAGATTTTGTATTTCTCTTTCAGACTTCTTTTTGTTAGGCTGAAGGATCCAATTCCTTCAGAAGTCATGTTTTGTAAACTTCCTACCATTCTTTCTGTTCTCCTCTATATCCTCTCTGTTTCTTCTCTACTCTGCACTCAAGTGCAGATCCTAAACCTGAACATAACATTTTGGGTGAGACCTCATTCCTACTGAGTGAAGAGAGGAATATTACCTCCTGTTAATACATCCCAGAATGACACTTGCCTTTTTTTACATCAGCATTACATTATGTCCTCATATTTCATTTGTGCTGCACCGTAATCTTTAAATCATTTTCTGCATTACTTGCTGCGTTACTTACTGCATTTACTGATCAAACTGATCTGAATATTTATGTGCATTTTGGAGATGAGCAACCACATAGGGATTGATGGGAAAGCCTTCTCTAACTCGTGAAAAAATACGAAAAACCCAGAAAATATATAAAATAGAAAAGAAAGACAAAAATAAATGAGGACAGGGAGAACAGGAAAGGTGGAGAAAATAACATTTGATTTGAATGCTTGAAATTATGGTCCACTTCAGACTAAGGATTACAACCCTATTTCACTTTCTGGTAAGTGCCTACTTGTTCTTAGTTCCAACATGTTTTATACAAAATCTTACAAATAAGTAAACACTCTACTGTAGGGGTGGCCAACCTGTGGCATGAGTGCCATAACTGACCCAGGAAGCCTCTGTGTGTAGCAACCAGTAGACTAGGGAGGGGACAGACAGCACAGTGCCAGACAAGGCAGGAAGCAGAAAGCAGAGCAGCAGATCAGCCATGGAAAGGGGGTCAGAGTGGCACTTGGGAGATTTGGGGGTTCATTTGTAGCACGCCTGCCAAAAGGATTGGCCCTCATTGCCCTACTGTGTGCCAAGGGAGTCTTTTATTTAAAGGCTGCAATTCATTAATTAAAATTCTGCTATACCGATAATTTAATTTCCTTGATCTTATACTGGATTGTGCCATATCAAAAATACCTTGTAACATGCTTAATTCAAAACAGATCACTATGTGCTCATCAAAAGTCCTGTGACAGGATAATGCTTTAGATATAAAAAAGGGATGTCCAGAGGTGATTTGCATAGCAAGCACGTACTGATATATAATCTTGTAATCTTGTCACAAATTTCTAACCTGAATCAGTACAAGGTGAATTTCCAGTTCGGCAATTCTTTTTCCTATACAACTGCGAATGCCATAACCAAATGGGATGGAACCAAAGTTGTCTACTCTGTCCATATGGTCTTTCCTCAGCCAGCGCTCAGGTTGGAACTCATTTGCCATTGGGAAATTCTCTTCATCGTAAGATGTAGCATAATGACAAAGTGCCAGCTGGGTCTGAGAAAATATTTGATTTTATGTTTAGTCAGTTTCAGGACATGTACAAACAATTCATTTATAATTTCTGTAACATGAAATATAATGGGAATATTATATAAATATTAAGAGATTTGAAAAATTAGATCCACTTCTCAGAGTTAAACTGGGTTAATTTCAAAACCTTTTAGACTCGATTAGTTTCTCATGACCTTATATTAAAAAAAAAACAAACCAACCTTTCCACACTTGTTGTCTCCTGTGTTAAACAAACAGCGCATGCTACACAATCAAAAGAAAAGGGAAATTGCATTTATGAAAATCAGACAACCCAGACTAGAGTCTCAGCTACAGTTATATAAATTTACTTATACATAAGTGTACTTGAGAGCGAAATATGGTCATAGGGGATGGCAAAGAAGGATATGACATGAAAAAGAACATATTAGAATTTATAATGAAGAGTTACAAAGAACAAAAGCACGTGTATTTAGGGTTGTTGGTTGTAGCCATGTTGGTCTAAGGTCATAGGCAGACAAGGTTCTTTGGGTAGATGTGATATCTTTTATCAGGCCAACTAAATAATTGGAAAAGTAGTTCTTTACAAGCTTTTAGGCACAAACACTCTTCTTCAGGGACAGGGAGAGCCTGCTGGTGTACAACTCGCACACCATTAGAGTTATGACATACCATCCTTCCCTGGAACCTATGTGGAAAATCCTCAAACAATTGCATCCCAGAAGAAAACCCAATTCTTAAACAGATCTTTCCAGAATCACCCAACCTAGCCTTTAAACAAGCACCAAAACCTCACCAGCCTCATCCCCAGAAGCAAACTTCCTCATTCCCAGAAGTACACCAAATGGATCTAGGCCATGCCGGGACAAGAAATGTAAAACCTGCCAACACATCTCCATCACCCCCACAATAACTCCACCCCACAACAGAACCATCGCCATTCCTGCATCTTACACCTGCACCTCCAGAAATGTACTATATCTGATCCAGCGCACTGAATGCCCTGATGGAAAATATGTAGGAAAAACCAAACAACAACTGTGCACCAGAATGAATGCACACTGGAAATCTACTGAAGACAAAAATACGCAGTTACCTAAGGGTGCACACTTCTCACAGGACCACCACCCTCTCTCCAATCTCTCAGTTTTAATCCTCAAAGGGAATTTACAAAACACCTTTCATAGACGAGTCTACAAACTTCACTTCAGAAATCTACTGAATACAAAAAACCATGGACTAAAATATAGATGTTGGATTTATGGCACATTACAACCTGCCTGACATCCCATAACCCCAGGTAACCTGTCTGCATTTTACCAGCTACATTTTATCAACAGTTCAACATTTCCCCTTATCCCCCCACATACCTGTCTCACACCTATTGTCTCATTCCCTCTGATACTCACTGCCACACATTTACATTTTCACAGACCTGCATTTTGCATACTGGCTTCAATTCCACCCAGGAGAACACACAAACACCAACAGATTCTCCTTGTGCCTGAAGAAGGGTGTTTGTGCCCAAAACCTTTCAAAGAACTTTTTTCCAACTATTTAATTGGTCTAATAAAAGATATCACATCTACCCAAAGAAACCATATGTATGTATTTAAGAGCAGACTTTGCCATAAGGATTGATACAATGCTCAGTTGCATCATTCTGAACAATTATGATTTATTCTGTAAATATATATTACAAAATAACCCATGGTTTCAAATAGAAGAGTTATGAGCCAAAACTACCCCAGCAGGATTTGTATTTACATGGTTCACATACCTTATTCTGTTTCTCCAAAATCTAAACTTTTTTTAAGTTACCATGCTAGTGGATATGAAAAAAAAACTTTCCAAACCTGAACCGGTTTATAGGATCATAGGAAAGTGTGGCTGGCTCACGAAGACATCTAGTCCAGAATCTGCTCAGACAGGAACAACCCTAACTAAATCATCCCAAGGCTCTCTCCAATCTGCTGTTGAAAATTCCCAGGGATGGAGTGTTCACTACTTTTCTAAGTAGCCCATTCCAATGCTTGACCACCCTCAACCGTCAGAAAGTTCCTCCTCATTTCAAACCTAAATGTCTTCTGCTGCAGTTGAGGCCATTGCTCCAATCCTGTCCCCTATGGTTACAAGAAAAGCCCATCTCGATCCTGTCCATAATTGCCCCTGAGGTATTTGAAGACTGTTATTAAATCCCCCCCTTAGTCTTCTCTTTTCTAGACGATGTAACCCTAGTTCTTTCAACCTTTCCTCCTAAGTCTTGCTTCCCAGGCCTCCATTTGTGTTGCTCTCCACTGGACTCTATCTAATCTGTCCACATCCTTTCTAAAGGGCAATGCCCAAAACTGGGCACAATACTCCAGAGGCCTCACCAGTGCTGAACAGAGTGGAAGAATCACTTCCTGTGATTTGCAATTAACACTCCAAGCCAGTCATTCACCTGTCTATATATTTGCATGCAATTATTCTATCCCAAATGCAGAATAGAATAATGGGCCAAGGGGCCCCAGCAGCCACACACCTCACCACTGAATGGCCAAGAGGGCTGACCATCGCGTGGCCCCACCCCTCACTGCTGATTGGTGGAAAAAGGTGGGGATCCACAATGGGCAGCCCTCTCTGCCAATCAACAGCAAGGAGTTGGGGGGGGGGGGGGGGGGGG